AATCATATTTTGTGCCTGTAAAGCAAAACTCAAGGCAGCTGCTCCGTGGGGTCATTTATGGATGTCACGTAAGTAATTCCCAGGTCCAAGCTCTCAGCCCCACAGATCTCAGCCCACGGCTAGCCATCAAATATTACAACAGGAGCCGGACGTGCAATGCACGTTCTCCCTCAACAAGCTCCTTTGGGGCCAAGTATTATTTCGTATTACTTGGATATTATTTCAAGAGCCGAGCGTGGGCGCAGCGAGGAGCGCAGCTTGGCAGAAAAATCACCCCTGGGATAAGCTGTGCGTCTCTCTTTCGGGCTTGCTGGCCGCACAGCCCACTCATGACCCCATCTCCTCCCGCTTCTCCCTACGTCCCGGGGGACAGCCCACCGTGCCTTTGCTCGCTGGTGCTACCTCATCCCTTGCATCCGCCAGCCTCACCCCATCCCCTCCGAGGGAACCCGTGCCCCGAGCTGAGATGCAGGCATGATGACCCATAGGGGAGGAGGGACGGGGAACCAGAGAGGAGCTTTTACCAAAGAGCAACTCATTAAAACGTCTTCGGAAAACCCTGGGGGAGCACCTGCGAGAGGCCCCATTTCTCCCTCCCTTCCCACTTCCCCCTCTGGGCTTCCTCCCGGTGCAGGTGACCAGCCCAGAGGGACCAGCCTCACCCAGTGTGACCATTTCATGGTGCCAGAGGCGGTCAGGGAGCTCCAAGCAAGGCATCAAGGAGATTTCCTCGGCGGGCATCGCTTTGTGGCTTTAGCAAAGACAGATACTGATGTTGTGCTTAGAGATGATTCAGGCAGCAGAGCGACTTGGAGCTGTGTTTCCCCAACGGCTTCACCAAGTTGAACTTGAAGGTTCCTCCGCTCCCTTTGTGAAGCTGTAGGTCCACGTGAGTGCATCGGAGTTGGAGAAACTTCCCAACCCACAACTGAGGAACCGGTGAGAATGCTGGAACTCAAGGTCGCAGCTCTGCTACCAGCTCCCTCCTGGAAATGATTAATACTGGGGGTAACACCCCCTTAATGAAGGACGTGGTCAGGTTCTCGTGCAGGACCTGTCCCCCCCCTCCCCAAGGGTGGAGAGACCTTTACCCTCTACAGTCTGTGTTCCTGAAAAAGGGACTTGGGAAAGCAAAATTAAAGCTTTCTCACTTGATTTTAAGTTCCTGATGAAGCCGGAGCGGTCCGGTCCCGGCGTCGTTTGTACGAAGAGCTCGCACAGTCGCAATTACAGCCCACGGGACGGGTCAAAAGCCAATCAGCTTGGCCTGAGCAACCTGCGAGACATTCTAGAAAGTACTTAAGAGGCGACGCTGCCAACGACGCGTCACAAAGTGCGGGTAACAACGGGACACGTTTTATGAAAGGCTGATAAAACTCAGAAACCGTGCTTCTTTGGGGGAATCACGGAGGGGAAAACGTGACTGGGAGAAGAGGCCGGTGTGCCAAAGCCCAGCAGAAAGGAACCTGAATTCTTAATTACCGGCCGTCCCCGTTGGGAGTTTGTCCACCAACGGCGCGACGGCAGCGCCGCGGAGCTTTGTCGTCCGCGCCCTTTGCGGTTCCAAGCGCAGGCAGGCGTGGACAGGGGGGAGGCAGAACGGGAGAAGATTTACTCCCACCCTAAATTATTCAAAAGGAAAGGGACCGCGCATCTTTAACAAGCCGTCGTTTTATGAAGCAAGGTTAACATTTTTACTTGATTCAGTAGAATATTATAAACTCTCCGGGGTCCATTTGAGGACTTTCTACTTTGAGCAAAGGCACGGACTCAGCACTTTTTATATTATTTAGAGAATAAAGTTAACCCTTAATGGCCCAAGCTGGTGTTCCTCCTCCCCAGTTAAATATGGCCCGCTCAGCAATTTCTCCCCATATATAATTACAGGCTGCTATCCATCATCTGTAGGAGAATGCTTTTCTGACACTCTAAAAGTGACACGGTAAGCACTTTTACTAATAGAATAAATATTCTAAATATCTCTTTTATATTTTCATTTAAATTGGAATATTTTAGAAATAATTGTAGGGACCCTGCCTGCGTGGCTAGCACGGTGCTGGCGGGAGGCGGCAGGATGCCTGTGTTTTCCTTCGGAGGAAACGTTCACCCTGCACGCAGTCCCCTCCACGGGCTGCCACAAAAAGTTAATTAGGCACGGGCGAATTTATTAGCGTTTCCCTCCACCGCTGCTGAGGTCCCGCTTTCCTGAAAGCTCTCCCTTTTAGCTTTTTTCCCCCCTTTCCTTTGGCCCGTTTTTTGCTGCGCAGCGGTTTCTCCTGGGGAAGGATGGGTTTGCCTGGCAGGAGGCGCCGTCCGCTGTTGCGTTTGGGTTCTGGGACGGGCTGGTGGCTTTGCACGATGATGCCACGGTGATGGGCGCTGAGCACCTACAGCTTCGCTTGCTGGGTTGTATCTCCGCCAACAAGAGCTACTGGGATAGAGAAAAGGAGGAGAAGAACCCTTCGGGGCTCCAGCCCAGACCAGCACAGGGATCCCAGCATCCAGCTGGTCATCCCAGTAACTCCCCCGGTGAAATACAGCCAAAATCAAAAGGGAGTTAAGAAATCTCCAGGAGCAGCAAATCTGAGCAAAACCGTGCTTAGGCGGACATTTATTCATGCGTTATCCGTTAAATGCAATAAAATAATATCGTTCCAGACGCCCGCTGGGGCGTCTCTGGGATGGTGCCCTACGATCTGGCAGACTCAAGGCAAACAAAATGATTGTTTCATTAGCAGCTCATTTTTTTTTTTTTTTTTTCAGCCAAAGAGCTGATTTAAAGCAGTGCTTGCAAAGTTCCCGCCGTGTTTTCAGCGTGGTACCTGGAGTCTCCAGCTCAAGGAGGAGGTTTGTCACTGCCTCCTCCCGTTCGTTTGCTGTCGGGTTGTGGAACTGGCTGAACCAAGCCAGGACACGGACGTGATGTTTTCTTCCCTGTCAAACGTGTCCTAGAGGCAACTAGCAAACACCCCAGAGAGAAGCAGACCAAGAGAAGAGGGTGGCTCCTTCCTCCAGCCGGGTTCATAGAGATGGGCCAACGTCGAACAGCAAATCATGGAATGGTTTGGGTTGGGAGGGACCTTTGAAGGTCATCTAGTCCAACCTCCCTGCCGTGGGCAGGGACATCTTCAACTAGATCAGGTTGCTCAGAGCCCCGTCCAACCTGGCCTTGAACCCTTCCAGGGAGGGGGCATCCACAACCTCTCTGGGCACCCTGGGCCAGCGTCTCACCGCCCTCATCATAAAGAATTTCTTCCTTATGTCCAAGGGAAATTTCCCCTCTTTCAGCTTAAAACTGTTACCCCTTGTCCTGTTGCAAGAGGACCTGCTAAAAAGTCTCTCCCCACCTTTCCTGTCCCCCCTTTAAGCCCCGGGAGGCTGCTCGAAGGGCTCCCCGGAGCCTTCCCTTCCCCAGGCTGAACCCCCCCAGCTCTCTCAGCCTTTCTCCACAGCAGAGCTGCTCCAGCCCTCGGACCATTTCCGTGTCCCTCCTCTGGCCCCGCTCCAACAGGTCCGTGTCTGGCCCGTGCTGGGGACCCCCGAGCTGGCTGCAGGGCTCCGGGGGGGCTCCCCAGAGCGGAGCAGAGGGGGAGAATCCCCCCCCCCTGGACCCGCTGGTCACAATGGTCAAAGGATGAGCATGGTCAAAGGATGAGCTGAAATCCCATCAAGTCACCACCCCCAGAAGAAAAAACCCTAGCAGCTCTCAGCTACAGCAGAAAAGCATCAACTCTAGAAATCTGAGAGTCCACCTTTGCTTTCTTCAAACCTGGTGGCAGAGTGAGTGGCTGCCCCTTCTGAACTACGACTGCCTGGGGCCTCCGCTGTGTCGGCATCGCTGCTCTCGCAAGTCTGAGATGGCAGCTGGAGAAACCGAGCCGAGGCGGCCCTTCCCGTGTTCACGGGACCAAAAGGAAAATCACGTGCCCTACTAACCAAAGACTGGTTCACACAAAGGGGCAAAAATATTATTAAAGTAATGGAAAACTGCAAAGAGGAGTCGGATGGGATGGTCGCTTTGAGTCCCAGGGAAACACCAGCATGGCCAACCCTCTCCCTTAGCCACGAAGCGAGGAAAGGTGAGATCCCGCAGCACGAGTCCGTGCCACTGAGCAACTGAGCTTGCTGCCACCCCGCTTCTCCTGTTGCTTACAAAGAAATCAGAAGCCGCAAGATGCCGGATAAACCCCCAAATTTAATTTTTTCGCACGTAACAGCCTTAAAATTCCTTTGGGAATCAGCAAGTGCAGCCAGCTCCAAGCCCCGCTCCAGGAAAGCCGCTCTCTCACAAGCTCTGTGTGTTACGTAGGGTGCCTTAAGCTCATGGACAAGGTTGGAAGTCTACTCAGGGTGCACCTAAAGTCCACGCAGGACTTTACCATGTTGATCTAAACCAGAGAACCCCCCAGGACATGGAAGTGAGCTCCAGAAAGCCCCCAGGTACACACCTGGGCACAGCTTGAGGCTCAGTTGCTGCAGGCTTGGTGAGGAAGGGTGGTCTCGCTGCTAAGACTGAGCCACGAGATCTAAGGCTCCACTTTTAACCCGTCACGGAGCCAGTGTGCAAAATAAACATTAATGTCCGTGGGTTTTCTACGTAAAACAGGAACTCGTGAGCCTTTTGCTTCGCTTCCCATCTATTTAACCAAGCAGTTTTCATGGTAGATGCTATCGGCTTGGGCACTGGACTCCGGTGACACGGACACCCTGGGGAGGCTCTTCCCAGGTCAGCACCAACACAATATTTGCGAGCTGCAACAAATTAATTTGTTTCCGTTGTTTTTTTTTTTTTTTTTTTTTTTTTTTTCTCCTGCCTGTAAGGCAACCAAGCCACTTTGCCCCTAACCCCGTGGAAAGGCACAGGGCTGCTGTTCATCACACCCAGGTGTTTAGCAGCTGCCAGCTCTACGGCTCCCTTCGGTGCCGTAGCTCGGGTGAAAACCAGCTCGACAAAAGGCACATCCACCCCGAGACCCCAAGGGCCGGTCCCCTTTTTTTACCTTTTCTCCCATGGGGCAATAGCCTTTGAGGAAATCTTGGCACACTTCTGCCTTCCTGGACACGTAGACGTGGCTGTAGGGGCAGTTGCTGTTGCTGCAGATCCCCTTCAAGAAGTAGGAGCACACCGGCATCTGCAAGGGCAGAGGATGAGAAACCTGTTAGTGCTCCCCCCCGACTCGTGATTAGGAACCGTTCCAACACCCAGAACGGAAATAAAACCGTGACATGAGTAAAATAAATATACGCCTTTCGCCAGCCACTGATCCCAGAGGTATTTTTAGCTCTTCTATTGGTCTCCTGTACCGCAGCTCCCTGGCATTACATGGTCCCAGTGTATATATGCACGGGGGGGGGGGGACACACGTTTGCCTCAGCATCCTTCAGGATGCTGGAGAGAGGGTGGAAAGCAGGAAACTGCCGCCAGAAAGAACACTTGCCCCTGTACGGCACGGGGAAAGGATGGGGGGGATTGTAATCAACTCCGCTGTCACGAGGGCTTGGCTGGCACCACGACGCACGTGGAGGGTTCGCCCTTCTGCCGACGCTCTCCCCGTTAACCTTGAAGAGGAAAGAAGGGGCGAGTGCTCCCCAGGCTCTTCGCTCGCCAAAGGCACCAAGCCGAGCGCGCCGTCGCGCGGCCGAGGACCGAGGAAACCTTTCCCAAGGGGTGACGCAGCGGCTGCGCTCTCCCGCGGGGGGTCCCGGCCATCGGAAAGGCCAAAACAGCATCCTGGGGCGGGGGGGGGGGCCCCCTCTATTTGGCTCTTCTGGGGATCCCGAGCTGGCTGGAGGGTGCAGAGCACGTGCTTAGATAAAAGCTCCAAAAGGTGAGTCCGAGCAAGGGGGAAAAACAAGCGCTTGCAGCTTCGCAAGCTTTTTTTTTTTTGGGGGGGTGTGGGGGGGTGTGGGGGTGTGGGTGGGCTACGTCACGCAAAGGCCTGGCATCCCCCAGGGCTGCGAGCAAGGTGACGATGATGCCTGTGCCTGCGCGTTGGCAGAGGGATGCTCCAGGAGGGAGGGGAAGGAGGAGGAGAGCCCCGGCTCCCGCCGCGAGCGGTCGAGGGCGAGAGCGCTCGGCCAGACGGAGCAGAGCCCCGCTGCCGCGCCCCCAGCGCCACAGCCGCCCGGGGAAAAGCCCAACGAGCAAGGATCCCCCAACGGCCTCAAACCACCAGCTTCACCTTCTGCCGGCTGTCGTAATTAAAAACAAATTACCAGCCTGCTGCGACCTTTCAGCGGCCCCGGCTACCGCCGGCAACTTCCCGGGACCCGGCTAGGCAGCTGCTGCTGGGAACGCGCACTTCCCGAAGCCGTCCCGACGAGCCGGCCCCTCCTGCTCCATCCCTTGCTGCTCGCCTCCCCGCCGAATTCCCTTCCTCCTCGGCGCAGTCTCCAGCCCCCCCTTCACCGGTAGCGTCTCGGTCCCGGCGGTTCGAGCATCCCCAAACTAATATTTACAATCCTGCAATAACCGCAGCTGAGGCTATCTGGAAAAATCCCCCTCCCTGAAGGGCACATTAGGGTTTTAACTAAATTGACTCACTTGAGGCAAAGAGAGGAAGAGAAGGAGGGGGAAGTAGAGAGGAAAGAAAACAAAGGGTGCTTTAAAAGAGAAGAGTTTATTTTTAATTGTCTTTTAACTGCAGACATTAACATAAAGGACAGGGCTCTGGGGCTATCTTTTTTGGTGGTGGTGGTGTGACCGTAAATGATTCCCTTAATGTAGTTTTTGATATAGAGCCCAAATTAGCTCTAATAAAAAGGGATAATAAAGGCAGCTCTTCGACAAAAAATAAACTCCTCCTTGCTGTCAAGCCTGAGCCATTATCAAGAGGAAGCAGCACTCTCATTTCAATTAACCTTGTTTGCACCCCACTACGTCCACACAAATAACAATAACATTAATTCAAGGCACTGGTGCGGTGCGTCTGTATTAGACAGCTTTGACTATGTACACGCTTTGGAGCCAGCAGCTAATGAACCCGAAACTCAACGTGAATTTCCAAATTGCTCACAACAGAGTTTTGAAGCTCTATTAGGGAGAAAAATGCTGATTCTTTTCGAGTTCCTCAAGGGGAAAAGCTGTTGTAGCAGCAGCGGGCGGTTGCCCGAGTCCTAGCCTCTCGCTAACCTTCACTCACAAACCCATTCGTTCGGATTTACCGGTTTCTCTCTCCAGCACCGGGATGCGCCGGCAGCTCTGCCCCGTCGCGGAGAAATTCCCTGCGCATCGCTTCTCCGGCTCCTCCTCAAGCCTGAGGGCTCTGCCCTGCGTCCCCTGCAGAATAAAATTCCCCAACCGCCAGCTCTCCCTTTCCTCCAGGCTCCTTTTTCCACTGCCAGAGGGATAGTTTGGTTTTTTTGAAAGCATCTGCAAAGCACCGTGCCCATCTGGAGCAGCCCTCCGCCCCAGAGAGCACCCTCTGCTTGGAGCAAGGGTTTTGCTGCGTGGGATGGGGAGAAGCTCCCTGCTGCTGTGACGGTTTCACCCATGCAGCTTTCCCACCCAAAACAGAGGGGTCGTCCCCGTTTTTCAGTGGGGAAACTGAGGCACGAGATAGCCCCGAGGTTGAGCAAGAGTTTTGTCCTCAAACCAATAGTTAAGCCCCGCAAACCCTTGGTCCTTCACCTCCTGGATTGGGTGCGGGGCCGCATCCTCAGTGTTTTCTCACTCTGAGGTGAGATACTCACCAATAACCTGAAGTTTCTCTAATGACAAGGTTGGGGGGGGGGGGTGGGGTGTGTGGGGGGGTGTCCCTCCAAAACCACAGAGCGAAATCGAGAGTCAACCAAGGGGGGCATCAGCCAAACCGGGACCCCTCAAACCGCAGCCGACACCTCATCATCATCATTAACCACCCGCAGAAAATCATAAAAACCTCAACTCGCCCAAAACCGAGCCGCCCCCGCTCAATCCCTCATCCGCGGGGCAGGTGGGATCCGCTCCGAAAAACCCCCGAGCGCGGGGGAAACGGCGGCCCGCCCTTCCTCCGCCGCTGATAAACGAGCCCAACGCCACCTTGGCTGATCATCACCCGGGTTAACAGCGAGCTCCGGGAGCTGAAAAGCAAAGTCGCCTCTCGCTTTGGGTAGCGGCCTCCCCGCAGTTATAAATCACCCCGGAACGGGCTTGAACTCCGCGGAGGAGGCTGTTTCTCTTCCAGCCCGCCCTGACGACAAGGTGGAGAGCGGAGACCTCTGAACCGCCCCCTCCCCGGGGCGCCTAATCCCAGGAAAAATTATCCATCCTCCTTCCCCACGGAGCAGGGCCCGACACGCGCGCTCCGAAAAGCATTTGTAAGGCACGTGAGAGAGCTGGCACCTGCCTGCTTCGTTTGTAGGCTTATTAATTTAACAACTCGCCTTGGGTCGAGGTGATGCTTTGGTAGCGGGAAATTAAGGGAGAAGGTGAGATGGGCACAGGTGACCCCTTCCCAGGGATTCCGTCCCCAAAATGCCACCGGCAAACCAGCTCTTCTGCATGAGACCTCAGCATGGCCACTCTTTTTTAATTCAGTTTTATTGCCACGATGATACTGTCGTTATTCTTCCCCGCATCCTGACCGGCGAGGCGCTGCTAAGGGGGGGGAAAAGGTTGAGTTTTCCACGCCGCGCTGCAGCCGTCGTTCTCCATCTATCCACCCAAAACGGAGCCGGGAAGCCAAAAATTTGAGGTCCTCCTTGTAGGCACCGAGACACACCGGTGTTTCTGGAAGGGAAACTGAGGCCACAACTCCGCCAGCAAATTAAACACGCTGGGAATATGGGGATATTGGGTACTGGGACCAGCCGGCACAAGCTCATCTGCATCCAGATGATCTGCAGCCTTCGGGGGACACGGCTGCGGCCAAACGGCCGGCCACACCGGCTCCTTGGCCATCTCCAGTTCCCGAGTCTCCCCCGGGTTTTTACCCTGGAAGCAAAACCAAGCTCTGGCACCATGCTGAAATACCATTTAACTCGCCTGTAGAGATGTAAGCTAACGGTCCTGTGCAGTCTGGATGAGTAGCAATCCTTGGGCTCAGAGGTGCTGGCAGTGGGTTGCGTGCTGCCGTTTGCGCTCGCACAGCACCCGCTCAAGCGAAAAGAAGTCACCGGCCCCATATCCACTCCAAATCTTCATTAATTATAACAAATCTGGATACACCAACAGCCAGTCCCTTTGCAAAGCTTTCTTCTCGGCTTCTTTATTTCTGAAGTCTAACTATACGTTATAGGAAGAAAAAAAAAAAAAAAAAAACAAAAAACCAAAAAACCAAGCCAGCCCTTTTTCCTTCTATCAATTCTCATCCTCATCCCTCCCTTTGACACGCCACGAGTCAGGGAGTACAGCTGTCCCCAGTCTATCTTCTCTATTTTATATACTCGTGATTAAGTGACTCCGAAGAGAGATACATGTCAAAAACATATGGTGCTTTGTGCCTCGCTCAGAGCGACTCCGCTCACCGCCAGGATAACTTATGAGCTCCCCACTGACAACAAACGTGCCTTAGGCAAATGGAGGGAAAGGGAGACAAGAAAACTGCGTGCCCAAAGGCAAAGGCCGTTGGAAAAGGTCCTGTCCCAGACGCTGATGAGACCTGACATCCCGCGGGTTAAATCCTTTACAGGTCAGTAGTTGCACTGTAATTACCTACATGATGCTGCGGACGGGGAACGGAGGACGGTGACGCTTGAAGGGAGTGAGAAGAGGGTGGTATAAGGAAGATTCACAAGGCACGGGCTAAAAAAAACCCGAAGTTTGAGTAATTAAAAGCAGCGTTTCCAGATCTGACACGGCTGAGGCGAGCTCTGGTCCCCACCGTGCTCCAGGCACAGCGGTGAAAGGTTTGACAAAGCTCCTTTCGATAAGTGACATGCCAGAAATAGAGCCCGGGGAGGGGGTGGGGGGGCTGTGGGCTCATCGAGGGACACGACAAAGGCCTGAGCCTTACGGGTTTCTCCAGGAAAACCCCTCCTCGTTGGCATCCCGCTTTCTGGCATCTCCACCCCAACAGCGGAGCCTTGGCACCCGACAGGCCCCGCTCCCCACGCGGCGACGCTGCTCCGGTTGGAGTTTCAATAACCCGGTGGGATTAACCTTACTGCTGTTGGTCTGTACCAGGGAAACGGTTCTGCAAATCCCTCCAACAAAGCCGAAACGTAAACAGGTGCTTTCAGCACATCCCAGCTCAGCGAAGGACCCGCAGCTACACTTAACCTTCAACACCTACTTCACCTCGGCTTCGACGCTTGAGGTCTCCAACGCTACGTCCGACTGGAGATCCTAGCCACCCAGCGGAGGTTAAGCTGCTAAAATCATCAGCTGATAATCACTAAAAGAAAACCTAATTATTTTTCCACCTCGCTCTTTGTAATAAAACCCCGGAGCCCCAGATATATCAAGAAGGTTGAAAATGCTGAACTCAAAAGCCGTTCTGCCAGCTGGTTTCACCGCCTGGCTTTTTAGAAAGGTTAATTCATACTTCCAAGCTCTTCTGTGTTAAGACATCCTCCTCCGACCTCAGCACAGGGTGATTTAGAGGGGAGGGCTAAGGACTAGATGCAACTAAACACTGCTCCCGTGCTCCTTCTCTCCGATCCCTGGCGTTTAAGCACCCCTTAACCCGACACACGTTACCCAGCAAAGCCCCAGTTGTTCCGGTTTCCCACCCGCCGCTTAAATGCATCCCTCCCACCGATTCACCACGCCACTCGAAGAGGCAGGCTTTCCTCTCACAACCCCATCAGGAGCCTGAAAGGCTGGGCAAGCAAACTACAAATGACCCCCCGACGGAAGCACTCGGCGAGGGAAACTGCTCTGCGACCGCCAGCGCTGCTCGTCGGGCCGCACCGCGCTCGTCGGGAAGCCGTACAGACCTTGTCTTTGGACACCTTGTGGGAAAACGAACAGGTCCCATCCGTCTTCTTGCACGTGCCCCGGAGAAACCTGGAGATAGACCAGAAGGAGAGGGCTGAGCACGAGGCGGGTGGCGAAACACGCCGTTTTAAACACCGACCATCTGTCTCGCCCCGTTATCGAGGCCACAAAATACGCAACGGCTGCTGCTGAGCTCACTGTTAAAGCCCACTTCACGCCCGAAATTGGTACAGGTCCTTCTCGTTGGAAGAGCAGCTGATGCTTCCTGATAGATTGTGCTCTTTCGTCATATTCGGTCGCTCGTTAGTAGGCAGAGCAAGGCCTGGACCGTGAAGTTCAGAGGTGATGCTCCCCGAAGGGGAAAGGCCCTTCCCAGAGCCCCGATTTCACCAGATGCTGGATGAAGCACCAGGAGGACTTCCAGGTGTGAGTGGCCAACACCCAGGAGGAGCAGAGACAGCCACACAACAGAAACCAACATCCCAAAGCACGTGAGGACGTTTGGGGTTTTCCAAGGAGCTGCCAGTGTGACAGCAAATTAACAAAATACACCTTCTTGGAGGAAGAGCACTGGTCTGAGCTCCCCAAAAGGAGACTCCAGGGGTACGTGCTCGCAGCTGCACAGCCTTGCAGGGAGGTTCTGGAGCACGGAATATGCCCCCAGCTTTATTTATAAAATCTGGGTAAATTCAGAGCTGAGCACGGAGAGGTTCGTTAAAAATAAAACAGAATTCAGATTGGTTTGAACCAAGTATAAATGGGAACATAGAGATCTGAAAACCAGCTGGCTGATGGCAACTAGGTTTGCGGATGATTGTGATCGTGGCATAGCTACGTGCACCTCCTCGGAACGCTCAGACCTGGAAAATAAAGGACAACCTAAACCAAAAGCAGACTGAGAAAATTAAAGAGATGGTAACACGAAGCTAAAGAACGGGACCGGAGCTAGAAGGCACCAGGGTGAGAAGACACAAGACCCGGAGAAAATCAGTGCTGTCCTCTAGTGATACATGGAAATGGGACAGGATGGAGACCTGAAAGACCTGAAGGACCAGCGATTCCTAAAGTATGCCAGGAGCACAGCCCAAACCCAGACTTGGTCGCCAACATAAGAACAACCAAGGATTCAAAGTGAAGAATCAGCAGCTGGCATCCCTTGTCCTCTACGTCACCAGAAGTAATTCTGACCGGACACCTTGGACACATCCACTGTGGTGCTCGTGACGGCGTCTTATGGGAGAATGAGCGAAAGCGAGTGAAATCGGTTAAAAAACCAATAAATCACCTGTCCCTCCTATATGCTCTCCCATCGAGCTATGTGCAACCTTCACATGATTTCTAGCACAGCAGCAATTTCACAGCGAAATTACTCAAGGAGTTCATCAGTGGAGGTGGCTTTTCTACACTTTTTAAACGACTAATAATATCGCTTAATCAACTGTTGGGCAGGTATAATGAGATGGCAAAATGAATCAGTTCTCCCGTAATAAATTACCCAGTCTCGTAGCTGCACGGCATCACAGGCTGAAGGATTCAAACCTGTTGCACGGATCCGAGTGGATCTGAGAAATGCTGCTGGAAGAAATCACGCGGTGCGTGGCCACAGCAGGCTCTCAAGTCATGTTTTAGCCTCTAAATTCCACCCGGCAAACCCTGATGGCACCTTCAACCTGACAGCAGTAAGTAAATCACTAAAGATTCTTATTCTGATAATATTTAAGGAATGTTGATTCGATCTTACAAATTCTCAAAACACTACTCTGATTTTAATTTTTTTTTTTAGAGCTTCTGTACTACGATATGGAAGGTTACTTATTAGATGTAAAAGCAGTGGTGGCGATATCCACCTCCAAAATGTGATGTAACTATTTCTGTAATCCCTACAGGATGCACAGTACAACCAAAATGTGTGTATTTAACTTGGGAGGCTGGTTGTGTGATGCTTTGTTAGCATTAATAGGTGTGAAATGCTGTGTAGATTTAGAGATAAATTACCAGCAGAGATTAAATAGACTCCAGTGATTCTCCAGTCTGGGAAGTCTGGACAGAAAGGGGAGGATTCTATAAGTTATAAGGGGTGCCTAGAAGGCGATCAGGGAATGATTTTTCCATCCTTCTCAAAAACCATGAGTGGGGAGACACCCAGCCCAACAGCCGAGCAGCCAGTTGAGGAAGCACTTTTCACACAGTCCCCAATTCAGTTGTGCATCCCGCTGCCGTAAATACCACGTGTTAAAGAAAGGATTCAATAAATTCACAAAGGAAAAAAAGAACTGCTGACATGATGATGGTTCGGGGGTACCCTCTAGCAACTGAAAAACAAACCCTACCAGGCTGCAGGACTTCACTGCCAGAAGCTGAGAGGTCCCAGTGAGGAGAAAGAGCCCTTCTCCGCGTTCCTCGATTTTCCCTCCTCATGTAGGTACCTCCCAACCCCAACAGTGTTGGGTAGGTGACCCAAAACAGTTGTCCTCGTGGCCTTACATCTCTGTTCTCAGGTTGTTTCCCTGAGGAATATCACACGAGCAAGCACCAAAGCCAACCAACGGCCCAGCCTACTGTGACGGGCCAAAGCATGAGATACCTGGTACAGACAGCCACCTTCTCTGGATCATGGATGTAGGGACAGCTCTCCCCGCGATTACACTTCCCGAAGCGGTTGTAGTACATACAGTATTCCTTCTTCTTTTTCTTCTGCTTGGCTTGACGAATGATGGCCAAACTCCGCTGAACAGCGCGGCTAAACGGAGAAAGACAGACAGGGTCAGGTACCATCTCCAACCTCTACACAACAACGACGTAGAGAGAACAGGTCTTGAAATCACAGAGAAGCCCGAGTTCCACTCTGATGAAAGAGTGAGATATTCAGGAAATTCATGACAGGCCATAAGCTCTTAGGTCTTTGTGATTTTTTTGGTCAACTTTACCCTGAATTTTTTAAAATTTGCAAGCTCTTAGGTCTTTGTGATTTTTTTGGTCAACTTTACCCTGAATTTTTTAAAATTTGCAAGCTCTTAGGTCTTTGTGATTTTTTTGGTCAACTTTACCCTGAATTTTTTAAAATTTGCAAGCTCTTAGGTCTTTGTGATTTTTTTGGTCAACTTTACCCTGAATTTTTTTAAATTTGCAAGCTCTTAGGTCTTTGTGATTTTTTTGGTCAACTTTACCCTGAATTTTTTTAAATTTGCAAGCTCTTAGGTCTTTGTGATTTTTTTGGTCAACTTTACCCTGAATTTTTTAAAATTTGCAAGCTCTTAGGTCTTTGTGATTTTTTTGGTCAACTTTACCCTGAATTTTTTAAAATTTGCAAGCTCTTAGGTCTTTGTGATTTTTTTGGTCAACTTTACCCTGAATTTTTTAAAATTTGCAAGCTCTTAGGTCTTTGTGATTTTTTTGGTCAACTTTACCCTGAATTTTTTAAAATTTGCAAGCTCTTAGGTCTTTGTGATTTTTTTGGTCAACTTTACCCTGAATTTTTTAAAATTTGCAAGCTCTTAGGTCTTTGTGATTTTTTTGGTCAACTTTACCCTGAATTTTTTAAAATTTGCAAGCTCTTAGGTCTTTGTGATTTTTTTGGTCAACTTTACCCTGAATTTTTTTAAATTTGCAAGCTCTTAGGTCTTTGTGATTTTTTTGGTCAACTTTACCCTGAATTTTTTAAAATTTGCAAGCTCTTAGGTCTTTGTGATTTTTTTGGTCAACTTTACCCTGAATTTTTTAAAATTTGCAAGCTCTTAGGTCTTTGTGATTTTTTTGGTCAACTTTACCCTGAATTTTTTAAAATTTGCAAGCTCTTAGGTCTTTGTGATTTTTTTGGTCAACTTTACCCTGAATTTTTTTAAATTTGCAAGCTCTTAGGTCTTTGTGATTTTTTTGGTCAACTTTACCCTGAATTTTTTAAAATTTGCAAGCTCTTAGGTCTTTGTGATTTTTTTGGTCAACTTTACCCTGAATTTTTTAAAATTTGCAAGCTCTTAGGTCTTTGTGATTTTTTTGGTCAACTTTACCCTGAATTTTTCTAAATTTGCAAGATGAGGCCCATCTCCCGGGAAACACCTGCGTTTGGTACAGAATTAACCCCACGTAGCAGGACGGGTTGTGGCCAACTTCCAGAGGAGGACCTCTGCAGAAGACAACCCTGGGGAACAACAAGTCACCCAGGAGTCAGCCCTTGGCAGCGGTGACACCAAACACATCCTGGGCTGTATGAGCAGGAATGGGGCTGGGAGGATGCGGTAGGGGAACTATCCCCCCCTCCATTTGTCACTTGGAAAACCACAGCTGGGCACTGGGTCCAGTTTGGGGCTCCCAGTACAACAAGAAGGCTGGATGGAAGCATCCAGTGGGGGCCATCAAGATGGTTGGGGCCGGAGCACAGGGCACCTGAGCAGAGGCCACGGGCCGATTTGCTCAGCAAGGAGAAGGCCAAGAGGGATCTTATTGCCCTCTGCGACTTAATGGCGTAGAGAAGGTGGAACCAGACCTTCTCAGAGAGATGTATTGGAAGGGCAGGAGGGCGCAGGAGGAAGGACAGCTCTCCAGAGATTCCCCTTCCCACCTCCACAACCACGATTCTCTCTACGATTTTACGAGCACGTTTCCGGCGGTTTTGGGGAACGTGGTGGGGCAGAAAACATCCTCCCCCCCCCCCCCCCCCCCCCCCCCGCCGGGCTCATGCAGCAGAGGATGCTAACGCCGAACGACTCAGAGGGCACTTCAGCACTTCAGTGTCCTCGTCAGCTGGCCTGCTGCTACCCAAGGCCCTTCAAGCGGACACCCGCTTACGGACCTCAACGAACGAGAGCCTACGCGATGGCCACAGAAACACCAGGTAACACCAAACATCAGAAAAACTTGACATTAATTGCCTGGTACCACTACAAGTCACTCAAGGACATCCAAAGTTGCTCAACGCGTGTTTTCCATAAACTTCCAGCTCAAGGGGGTCACTACCCAGCGGCTACGGAGATGTACGGGACCCGGAGGAAGAGGGGAAGCGTTGAGCTCGGGGTGAGTGCAACACCCCGGTGGGCATTTTTGATTTCTCCAAGCAAATAATTAGACGGCACAGCACGGTCAACTCAAGTTTGCGCGGGACACGGTGCCCTGGATGAGGGCAAACAAAGCCACTCGCCTTAGGTTCTCTGAGTCGCTGTATGCATTGCTTCCTTAGCCTCTGAGGATGAGTATTTACATATAAAAATTTGTCAATATATGGATAATATATGAATATGACAGAATATTTATGTATTTCCACAGCCTTGGTCCTCCTGGTACAAGAACCACAGGTCTAAGGGTCACAAGAGCATTCCCCACAATAAATACTTGCTCCAGGAAACTATTTTAGGGGGGGAATGCGCATTTTTACCTCGATAATTATGGCTTGTCTGCGGCTCTCAAGTTAAAATGCAACAAGAAAAAGGCAACTTCATACAGCCAAACCGCTGAATGCAAAAGCACCGTTTTATCATCAGAAATGCCACCTCCTCTTTCATCACAAATGGCTCGGGGGGACACCAAGCCCCACCACAAACTGTTTCTTGGTACCTGACGTGCTTCCAAGGTTGCTAACGTAAGGCGAGCCATGATATGGCATGAAAAGCATTTCAAAAAAGAAGATTTTTCTTCCGAAATTATAATATTGAAAGAAGGTTCTCTCATAATTGGCTACTTGTGATACCTGGCCAGGTCACCAGCATGCTGACCTGTACAGAAAGCATTTGCAAGCTGGACTCTAGCATCAGTTAACTCCAGTGCTAGATTTTAAATTAGTTGGTATTAGTGGTAGGATATCATAAAATATAGCTAGAATCTGTCATTACGACTGTATACACACATCTGGAACAGACAAACTTTGGGAATTTTAATCTGCTACAATTAAAAAGGGCTTGTCTGCAAATGCTCATGCTTAAGGACACGATGATATGTGGTACACCTAGCACAATAAAAAAAAAAAAAAAAAACAGGCAAGGAGAAAGCTGGCAGTGTGTTGAACACCAGCAACATGCCGTCCTTCTCTCATCCACGGTGTTTTCCAGTTGCCACGTGGCAGGTTCCCAGTTTGTGGGTGGGAGAGTGAGCGGGAAAACCTCCAGGTTTGCTGGACTGAATTGGGATGGGCTTCTCAGAGTTGGGGGGCGGGGGGAAAAAAAAAAAAAAAAAAAAAATCAAATGTACCCCTTGAGAACAATACGGTTGATTTAAAAAGGGACTTTCCAGGCAGGATTTGCTCGCAGAAAGGTGTTGTTGCCCATTAATAACCTTTCAAACACTTTCCAAGCAGAAAGCGTGGCTTTCTGCTGAGCTTACAACCACCTTGTAGCGGAGGCTAGGAGAAATGCAGCAGCCGGAGCTTCTCCGACTTCATATCCAGTTAAATGGCTGCGTCTCAAGCTTCTGACACCCTCCCGAGCATAAATCACGCGCAGCACCCGGCGGGGGAGCACACTGTTCCTCCCCTGCAAGTACAGACCTGGCGATGTATCGGCTCGTAGCTGATCTGTTCAGGCAGCCGGACGGAGAGAAGCCGGGACTGGGCGTACAGTGCAACCTCACTGTTGGAAACAGAGAAGAAAACATTGATAATTGGCTCAGAATCCAGAAGTTTTGCTGGAATTCATGCAGCCTCCCGTGTCTTAGGTCCACCGAAACGATCCGAGGGCTGGAGCAGCTCTGCTGTGGAGAGAGGCTGAGAGAGCTGGGGGGGGTTCAGCCTGGGGAAGGCTCCAGGGAGACCTTGCGGCATTTCAATATTTAAAGGGGGTTGATGAGAAAGATGGGGACAAACTTTTTAGTAGGGCCTGTAGCGACAGGAAAAGGGGCAGCGGTTTTAAACTAAAAGAGGAGAGTTTAGACTAGATCTAAGGAAGGATTGTTTTTCCTTTGAGGGCGCTGAGATGCTGGACCAGGTTGCCCAGAGAGGTGGTGGATGCCCCATCCCTGGAAGGGTTCAAGGTCAGGTTGGACGGGGCTCTGAGCAACCTGGTTTAGTTGAAGTTGTCCCTGCCCGTGGCAGGGGGGTTGGACTAAATGACCTCTAAATGTCCCTTCCAATCCAACCCCCTTCGATGTTTTTGTGATCTTACTGCTTAACCCAAAGCAAGAAGCTCCCAGAGCCCCAGTGGGCGAGGGTGCTCTTTACGGACCTCCACGTTGCCGGCGCTTCCAGAGCAGCCACAGCAAAAAAGCTCCTTGTCAGCTCCAAACGCAGCGGGGACCCTTCCCCTCGGCACCCAAATGTGCCCAAAAACACCCCCCCCCCCCCCCTCGGGGCAACTCGCACGCCCGCACGATCGCTCGGGCAGATTTCCACGCTTGGCTTGGCGGTTCCCCGCAGCCGGCCGGGGAAGCCCAGCGCCCGCTTCCGATACGCCCACGCGCCTAATTAAATCGTCCCTTGACCGGCGTAGGGAAAAATGAATTAAAAATAAAGCCCGGGTCTCAACTTTCCAGGTGGGACGAGAGCGGCTCAGTCGCTCGCCTGCCAGCCCGGGCGTGTTGGGGAGCGAGCGAGTGGCATTCGATAGCGCGGCAGCGCGCTCTCCCCGCGCGCGAGCTGTCACTCGGGCTGCCGGCGTTGGCGAAGCCCCATCTGTTCCCTCCACAAAAAAAAAAAACAAAACAAAACGCCGGCGCGGGCGCGACGTCGGCACACGCCTGTCGCTCAGAGGCAGCGAGCTCGCTCCGCTCAACTCACCGGCGAGCCCGTTCCAGCTCACTCGAGCTTGCCGCAAGCGCGCCGAGTACCAGCCGGGCGTTTGAGCCACCGCTGAGGATTTATTTCCCTTTTTTTTTTTTTTTTTTTTTTGGGGGGGGGGGGGGGGGGGGCACGGTTTGGGGGGGGGAGGGCGTGCGTGTTGCCGTGCTTCCACCTCGTCGCAGGGCTGCCTCGCTGTCGGAGCATCTTTTCGACCGGTTTCCAAGCGCTGAAGTCGACGCCCGGCACCCGCGGGGACGCGGCGAGGATGCCGCCGAGCTTCTCTTAGCGAGGCCGTGGGTTAAGAGCCCGGCGCGCTCAAGCGAGGTTGACCTCCCAACTGATGCAGGGAGAAAGACCCAAATTAAAGTCCCGACCATTAGGGTAAGGATAGAGCATCCCTCAGCCCTCCGCAATTACGTTTAATGCTCCTTAAAGCAAGCTCAGCAGGACAGGCTATACCAGGAGCTGGCTCCCCAGGGCAGCAGACGATCTCTCTAAATATTTAATACCCAGGCATAAAAGCGGACTCTCGGGGACGAACACGCTCCCGTGCTTGTGCGCCATCCTTTTAGTTAAAGCAGCCTGACAACCCCATCTTGGCCAGAAAGGAGGAATAACTAAAGAGATAAATAAATAAGTAAATAAATTAAGGGTGCGACAGCCTCGTTTTTAATTTATAGAGAGCAAAAGCACATCCCTGGCATAACGGCTGGGGGATTTTTTCCCCGGTTTTTATCTTCCGGCAAGAAGTCATGCTATTATACATGGACAGGGGACGCACAGCTCCCGCTACGGGCTCTTGCTGTGAATTAACTCACAGCCTGGAGGCAGTTTAACCCCCCCCCGCCCCCCCCCCCCCAAGAGCCAATCCCACCCACGGCAAAATCCAGGTGAGATGCCTCCGTCCAGCGTGCCGACCAGGTCTGGCAAAGCATCAGACTGGCAGCTGGCAAAGAAACCCTTCCTCCACGCCTTCCCACCGCCTAATTATTCACCCCGCATGAAAATCCTCCCCAAACTATTAGAAAACCACCTAAATATTTACCCAGGAGGAGACAGCCCAGCGGCTGCGTAACGCTGCTGGTTAAGAAGCTCCGTAATTACACATTTCGCCGTCGATTGGGATTTATGGAGCAAACTCAGGCTCCGGCGCAATGGTATTTTTAGAAGCTTTTGCATCGTGCACAAAAAGAAGTTTCAATACAAGCAAGGCTCTGTGAGCATCAAAGCAGCGAGGGAGGAGATGCAGGAAGAGCGTGTTCGATGTCTCAGGACCTTTCAGGAGGTCCAAGGAGCCCAAGTTTTGATTTTTAGAGTGGTTATCAACTCGGGCTGCTCAGCAAGAGCCACTACCGAGAGATTTGAGTTAATAAATACAGAGCGTCTGGTATTTTGCAGGCAGTGGAGATTCAGGGTGTATCTATAGTATCGAAGTCACCCACGCGGTGTGAAACCAGGGCTGAGCAAAACACAACAGAGAACTGGGTAAGGGTTAAATATAAAAAAAAAACAAACCAAGAGCTGAAATTTGCTGCAGTCTGGACTAAATTAAAAGCTGAAATGACGCCCCCCCCCCCCCCCCCAGGGCTTGACTCTGATCTCTGGGAGTTTGATCCAGACGTAACACACTTTCATTTTGCAGGACAGGTGCCAGTCCCAAATCTGTCCCGTTTTTTTCCCCGGTTGCTCTCCAACCGGAGCGAGCATCAGCGTCGGGACGCAGCGGTGCTGTCGGATCAGGAGAGCAACTCGCACATCCCGTATCACGCTCCCCTCGACGCGGCCAAAAGTCCCTCGCTGCAGAGATTTCAATACGTGGCATGGCAGGTTCCGCCCCCGTGCACGCTCAACGGCAGCGGGAACGACAGGGGGGGGAGAGAAGAAAAAGGAAGGAAAAAAAAAAATAAAAGCTGCTGGGGAGAGCATCGGGAACTGCACATTAAGGGCTTTTTAACTGATTACACGCAGCACGGCGGCGTCAGGCTTGATATTTTATACCCCACGTAAGGGACAGGTGGTTTTCTCCCTTTGCTTTTTCATTTTTTTGTGTTTTTTTTTTTTTTTTTTTTTTCCCTTCCCTTCTTCATGATTTAGTCGGTTTGAAGCGCATCATCTGTAAGGAAATACACGGCCCGTGCAAACGGGGTTGTTTCTCTTAATGCATCATCCCGACCTGACACTGCCTGCTCCGGCGGCTCTCGGCGTTATCAAGCGCGAGCACTGAGAAGTGATTGTTGTACCTCACCCAGCCGTGAGCCTCGACGCGTCTCTCCAGAGGGAGCAGGAGCTGTCATGTTCATTAAATGCATGATTACAGCTATGATTAATAGCGGGGGCTACAGCCTAACTCTTTTTTTTTTTTTTTTTTTTTTTTTTTTTTCCCCCTGCTCCTCTAAAGAAATCCGCAGCCGAGCAGTCCCAGGGTGTTTTCCACAGCGTTCGCCTCCGCTCAGCCCATCCCGCTCGAAATTCTAGCTTTTGATGGAAAAAGCCAGCAAAAGTCACAATTTATCCCCGCCAAACGCTCCACAACCACAAAATATGTTTAAAAAGAGCGGGCTGCCTGCTGCACCCCTCCACCCACACTCATCCATGAATTAGGATCTTTTTTTTTAGCGTAAGCCCAAGACGTATCTCAGGGCTTGGGGGGTCCCTCACCTGCAACCTGGTCCCTCTCCTTCGGGAAAAGATTTGGCAGAGATTCGCTTTGGCAGCCCAGGAACCGCGCTCGGAAGCAACAGCCGGTGCGTTCCAGGATGTCAGGGGGGGAGTGCAGGACGTTTCCATCCAGCTCCAACACCCCTGCTCAGCTCCCCCCCCCCCCGGCCCAAGGGCTTGGCGATGCAACGACTGCACGCCCAAAAGGACGCTTCAAATTTTCCTCTGCATTAAAAACCGGCTGCAAACATTGCACGGCGGGAGCGCGGTTCATTAGGACCTGCTTAATTATTTTTGCATTAAAAATCGGCTGCAAATATTGCACGGCGGGAGCGCGGTTAATTATGAGCTGCTTAATTATTTTTGCATTAAAAATCGGCTGCAAATATTGCACGGAGGGAGCACGGTTAATTATTACCTGCTTAATTATTTAGGAACGACTTTATTGCGCTTAGGGCCCAGCACAAGGACCAGGACCTCATCATGTGGAAGGGTCTGTGCATCTTATCTAGTAATTTTTTTTTGTTAAACAGTGGAAAAGCTGTGAATGACTGAAATAGCCTAAAAAAAAAAAAAGGGAGAAGCTGCAGAGTTGGGATGCACCGGGGCCAAGGGACGTGCGGGAGGGCGAGAGCATCGCGTTAGGGTGACGGGCCGGTGCCAGCCGTGCGGGTCGCCCTTCTTGGGAGCAGAGGAAACCGCCGAGCTCATTGCTGCTCCCCTCCTTCAAGTGCCCCGAATCGAGGATAATTCATGGAAATCTTAAGACATTGGAGGGAAACAACCAGGGAAGCGACCGCCGTCGGCGGACGCTCTGACTCGGGGACGACCGTAACGGGGTCACCCCAGCTTCGCGTTACTCAGCCTCGCTCATCAAGGGAAGGGGCTTTGCCGTCAGCCACGCTCGCTTCTACTCGGCCTCTTTCAACATGACCTTGACACCCAGGAAAAAGCTTCCTTTCGCCACGCCGGCTCCTTTAACAGGTCCCATTATAACCCCCCGTTTCGCCCGCCGCGGCGCAGGCAGCCTACTTCGGGAACAGCCAAGCGATTCATTTTGCGAGGCTCTCCTTCGCTTTATTGCTGAACAAAAAGTTTTGAGGCTGGCACTCGGGGAAATTTATTCCTTTAATTATTATTCATTTAAGTGGGTTCCACTGTTTCAGATGATCAGCACTAGCAGCTGCTGGGGGTAAT